TTTGCATAATTAACCAATTTTAAGCTTTCACACTGATATCTAAAGTACTAATTTCCATTTTAATGAAACTTAGTACAAAGATGCTCTAGGACAATGTACAAACCTAATTAGTTTGGGGTAAAACTCTGTTCATATTATTTCCCCAATTAGCATAATAATTCATAATTTTTTGGTTCTAATCACATTTCAATTAAACTTGGTACATAGAGTTTTTGTTACATTGCGCAGACCTTGTTAGTTTTACAATCAAATCTGTTCATGTTAATTTTCTGATTTGCATAATTAGTTTTCAGCTAAGTAATTTCAAATTATATTTAATGTGTCTCCAATACTCTCAGCACATGGGAGTTCTTTCTAAGCTTTCTTTGATTTTTTTTAGAATCGAATTCTTGCCAAGCTAGAACTATCAAAAGAGAAATACAATGAAGGCAGAAAGAAAATCCCTCCACCATGGGGTGAGTCAACTGTTATGCTTCTACAACATATTTGGTATGGTTTCTAGTCTGGTGATCTTCTTATTTTAACCCCCATTGGATCTTGTTACCTTTTCTTTAATATCATGGGTGGACTTTGCAGCATTTCATTTTTGGTTTTCAGATTGGATTCAAAATGGCCAACTGGTGGCCATTTTGTTTTAATGAAGCCAGTTCTGGACATACAATTCATGTTCAAATGTGATATATTTCTTTAACTTATTAACTCACAGAGATTATGTAATGTAATTACTTGTTACGTTTTGATTGCAGTGCCAACAGATAAGGTACCACGCCTTTTATCATCCTGTCCATCAGCCTGTCGCAGACTTATGAAGAAAGCAGAAATGTTAGGTATTAGCACAGATGTAAGTTGCAACGAATCAGATTCTGTCTTCTTAACAAATTATTACATAGTGAATCATTGACTTGAATATGTTTCTTTTGTGTCCCAGTGAAGTAACTGACATGACTTGTGCTGCTCACGAAAATTTGTCTTTTGCAAAATCAGAGCAGGTTTCAAGTTATATGATTTGCTGTTTCAAAAAGTCAAAATCGCGCACGACGCAAATTATCTTTTTTTGGTATAATTAAACAATTGTTTATGTACAATTATTGCCTGCAGACTGTGTCCATGCGGTCAGCCAATGAAAGTCATGATCACCGAGGTAAATGGCGAGTGGCACCAGCTTTCAGTCCTGAATTCGTTGCTTATTTCCTTGGTAAGTGTAGTGTAGTGTAGTGTAGTGAGAAGCTTAAGAAACCAGTGAAGTAAATTAAGCAATGCTCATTGATTTTGCATACATGCAGGTGTTATGTGGTACATAGTTTATTTAATATGAGATTATTAAAACAATATCGCACAAAGGCATACGGTCTCAACCAACACATAGCTGATTCTGTGCTACCTGAGTGCGCATATTTTGCAGTATTGTCATGACAATATTATTAATATACATCTTTCCCTGTGTGTAGTAATAATTTATTGAGAGATTTTAAAGTGGTAATATTCTAAGAGTGTCATTTGAAAAGGTGGAAAAATCACCACTTCAAAATGTTCTGTAGAAAAAATAATACTTTACTACAATATTACCGTTAAAGTCCTATTATAAACCGCGGTTTATATTACAATGTATCAATTTAAAAATTGGGATCAAAATCTCAAGTTCGGGGTGCGGTTATTGCAATCACTAAATGGGCGTGGTCATTTTTTGTCCACAACACATGCACAAAACTAACAATACACCGTACAATCTCTTGAATAGGCGTCGGAGAAGAGTGAAAGGCCTTATTTTGGTTCTAAAATAGGCGTTACGAAATGTTGAAAAATTACAGACAATCAAAAAAAAATTCCACATGATCCAAAAAATACTCAGTATTTTTTATGTAATATGCATTTATTTTTTTAATTTTCTTGGTAACGAAAAGTATATTCTAACAGAAGTTTTAAATAAAAACACGAATGCACTGCTTAGTAGCAAATGATCACATAACGGTAGCTCGATCCGGCCATGCTGCGGGTCACAAGTGAATAACTTACTTGTTTTCGAAGTGTTGATCGTGGTGATTATTATTTAGTAGTGATTACAATAACGCACGAAAAATAAATTCATTGAATTGTTATATATTGCAAGTAAAATTCAACTTAGTTTCCCCGTAAGCGAATGATTTCAGTCACATGTAAACAGCCGATACGATATCCGCCATGTTTTTGAATGCTCACGTGACGTATTATTGACCGGATAGGTCAAGTCGCTAATTAACCAATCAAAATGCTGGATGGTGCCCACGTGTTCAAATTACATAGCTCATTTAAATATGTTAATGACAGTTCAGCGACCTCATGGTGAACGCAACACGGAAGAGAT